CGTTGAATTTTTGTGTTCCCTGAAGTAGGTAAAAGTTTGCTGACCGGACTTGGACTTAAAAGGGGGAAACCCATAACCTCGAAATGACGTCATTGTATGTCACTGCGCATGACTTGCGTATTAAACGTTTGTGACCTTATAGGGGAGTTGCCCTATAACTGCAATGTACTAGAGTATGAACAAATAAATACCAGCATTCGTATTTTAAAACAGTAATGCACCTGACTGCACTTCAAATGCAGTTCACATTGGTGAGATCTTCTTTAACGAAAATGTATTTTCGCCACCAAAAAGACACAAGCTGATAAATCTTGTTAATCATGACTTTTTTTTCATTTGATGAATTTCATTATGATATAGCAAAACTGGAATTTAGGGGTCGTCATAATACGTTTTCAAACGAGATTATGACAAATCAGAAAATTTGAACATTCCCGAACTTTCCTCCCCTTTGGCTTTAAAAGTGCTTGATATAAGGATGAAGTAAGCAGTCGTTACATCAGTCACTTCATGTCCCGCTGATTTATTGAAATGGGTGTGGCAAGGGAGGATCTTGGCCACGAATTTAACTTCGTCAAAGTTTTCCATTCGCTTTTTAACACATGTATTACTGTATGCTCATTTATTAAAATTGCGACATTTACGGCGGGAATTCCACAGACGTTCCGAATGTTTATCTGCGAACGTATTATATATTCCGTTATTATTTCAAAATCTAAATCATGAGATCAAGCTGAAGACAAGTCTACCGGACGTGAATACGAAGACGCCAAATATTGATAGGTCAAAGATTAACAGTGGAAGGTTTTCTCAGAGTTTGGGTCAAGCAATAACCCGCGTTTTCAAGACGCTTGTTCTCCGTTAGGTCAGATTTTGAGCTTTGAAGCTTTCAGAGAGGCAAAAAGAGGAGTCAACAAACTATCGAGCAGACAAACAGCCAAAGAGATTCTATCTTGTCGATTCGGATTTTTATGTTTATGATAATGGCATTCCAGTAGACGGCAGTACGGTATACAAGTTGCAAACTAATGTTTTGCATCATTATATTCCGATTACTGGCGCAGAGCGCTGAGTTTTACCTAACGACTTCTTAATAAAAGCAAAAAACAATTTTACAAGAATTGTTCACAATCCAAAACAATGAGATCAAAGCATCAAAAACGGCATAAAATTTCATCTAAAAGTTTAAGCAGTATTTTGTGTTATCAAACTCCTATACGCTACAACAATCATACGTAAAAGTCCAAATCTATAAACCGGATTAAATAAATCTCTGTTCTCTTTATTACCTTTTTATTCAGTTCTATTAAAATATAAATTCTTCAACTTCAAAGATCCTTTTTGAGTCTAAATTCATTTCATAAACATTACCATAATCAAAATGAGGTTAAGGAAAAACAGGAGTATACAATTCCATTACTGCCAATATTCACATCATATTTTTACATTGGCATACCATACGAACACCTCTTGCCAATGTCATGAAGATCGAAGACCTTAAGACTGAGTCTTCAAACTTACAGACAATGGGGAAATTAGTCACCCTCTTACTTACACATGCTCTTTTTTAACAACTAGTGAAACTTTTTGAAAGCAGTAAAATGAAAATGATTCATTTTACAAGCGATTTCTGGTTTGGTTTGCTGATCATTTACAGCCTTAATTTCACACTCCCAACGACTTGTGATAATTAGTGATAATAAAAGATCGAAGTGACGTCATTTAGCTAATCCATTGGATGTTCTGACAAAAAGAGCCGAAAGCACTCAATGGTGCCTCCTGATGCCAGATGATAAACCTGTTTTCTAAGGTTAATTAGCATAGCTCGTAGAGTTTGAATTACAGGAGTTGATCAACTTTCAATTTTAGAATTGATTTTCTGAACTTAAGCAACGACAACTTCATTCGCTTTTTTATCAACTTTAAAACAGGGTACACTTCACAAATTGTATGTCGGGATTCAAAGCTGCAAATATAGATTCAATGTTTACTTTGACAACTTGAGGCATCAGACAATGTTTGATTTATCCATGAATTACTCAGCAAAAACCTATAATAACATATTACGCGGTGAAATTTGGTTAATATTGATTTGCACATGTGCAGTAATATACAGCCAGCATGTTGAAACGTAAACGTATGTAGTAACAATGATCTTGCCAAAAACGATATAACAAAATTCCAACAGGACGTACATCGTCGCATGTACCTGTATCTGCAACAAAATTGACCTGCAAAAAAAGACAAAAGAGTTTCACGCCATTTACAAATGCCATTTATAACTTGTACTGATTAAACTGAACCCAGTAAGAACCATTCAGTTATTTATTTTAATTCCTAAAGATTAAAGACCTCTTTACATTAACGGAAGCAACCAAGGAACCTGCCGAATGCGCAAGTGCATGCATTCAGAAATGCTTGAGTGTAGCTACAGCACTACAGACGCGAGGAGGTCCTTTGGAAAAGTGTCGGTACGTTTTCCACCAATTCCTAATCAAATGCAAGAATCTTTTACATGTATTTAGAGAAGAATTATTAACTGTCGTTTCTCAAGCAAGATCTATGGCAGAGGCTTATGAAATAAATACTGACTGCTTGATATCGTGACGAAGTGAAAGTTGCCCTCCCCCTCCGTGATCCATGGAACATTCCATTCTCCCTCAGCTTTGCTTTGGGAAAAGTCGAAACCTAAATTCAAGT